CCCCCCCCCCCCCCCCAAAGTGTTTCTGGGAACTATACCTTAATAAAACTTCTTGGGTTTGATTTGCCTTAAGTAACACTAGACATCTGCAAGAACTACTTCACAGTTAGGGCAGCTAGGAGCTGGAACCAACTTCCTAGGGAAGTGGTGCTGGCTCCTACCCTGGGGATCTTTAAGAGGCTTGATGACTACCTGGCTGGACTCATTTGAGTCCAGTCTTTTCTCCTGCCCAGGCCATCGGTCAGACTTGAAGATCTACAAGGTCCCTTCCGACCCTACTTCTATGATTCTATTTCTCCCATCTACAATTAATTCTGACACTACCCAATTTGTGGAGTATCCATTTCATGTTTCCAGAGTTGAGCAAGCAACCCCAGTGCTAAACAGGCAAGCTGCTACCATGGTGCAAAAAATAGCTAATCCCTTCCTCCCATTCTCCCCTGACTCCCCCCACCAAAAACAAAAAAGAGAATGGAAGTGTAGATTAAGCTTATGCCCAAAGCCTTGCAACAAAGCCAGTGCCAGAGTTATCAGCTACAGCCCTGCTGCCTAGCTCAAGTGGCACTGCCTTTTCCTTACAGGAACACTCTCAGATACTAAATGTAGGCTTTGTTTAGCAACAAAGAAGTCAACGGTGAAAGAGAACCCAATACATGCAAAACCATAAGAAGCTGAGGGCAGCAGCAGCCTTAGGGGAGGGCAAGCCAGGCAACCACCTGCAGCCCCACATTTTATAAAAATCAGTTACACTAAATATTTGTATTATTAATATTGTATTAAGATAATTTTATTGCAATTTCAGGGATAGGGCAAAGTTTAATTGAAACTGAAAGTGTCCAACTTGCTTATAGGTCATCAAAAATTAAGCCTCTAAGGGGCCCCAACTGACTCCTGCCCAGAGCCCCAACAACCCTAAGGCCACCACTGCTGAGGGGAAGAGACTTCTGCACTTCCTTGCATCTTCCTAGGGCCCAAACACTAGCAATGTGCTGCCACACAAGGAGAATCCTATGTCCATTATGACAGTGTGTACAAGATGTTGAGAGACCTACATCTTACACAGTGATAGAGGTATATGGCGGAGAGCAGGCCAGAGCATTTCAGGAGCCCAGCGGGGAGGAGAGGACAGCACCTGCAGCCACCTGACACAGCCAGCCCAGGGGCTCACAGTGAACAAGGACACCAGAAGGAAGGCTGGCTTCCTCCGTTCCACAGCCCCAAGTGAAGCAAGCTGGGGCTCGCAAAAGCTTGTGCCCCTCCAATGCCACAAGCCCAGAAGGTGCATCTACCCCCAACCCCCTGTTTTTTTTCTGGGGTCGGGGCCCTGCTTCCCAGAGTGCGCGGGCGGACAGACCTCTGGGTGGCCAGAGCCCCCCTCCCAGGGGCTGGCCTTCACAGATACCCCTCCTCCGCAGGTTGCGCCCCCCGACAACCCGCCCGCTGCCCCTGGGGCTACGTGGAAAGAAACAGCCATGCGAACCTCAAGGCCCCCAACCCCGCTCACCTGGCGGCTCTCGCCCACAGCAGCGCAGCTCCCGCTCCTCACTCTATGGCGTCCGCAGGGCGGTACCAGCCCCACCTACTTCCCCCCACCCCGCCAATCAGGAGAGGCGCTCCCAGCCACACCAGCCAATGAGGCAACAATAGGGCCGAGAGCAGCGCGACCTGAAACACAGAAAAGAGCGCAAACACTCCCACGTGACACCGCTGCAGGCCCTCAAGTTTATAACCCTCTGTCCCGGCAGGCCTGACCAATGGGCGTGCGACAGCGTGGGCGGGCCATCCAATGGCGGCCGCGGCCTGAGCCGGCTGGCCAATCCCTGAGCGGGACCCAGCACTAGCCGTACTTAAGGAACGGGCCGCCGAGTGTTCTATAATTAGAGCTTTAGTGCTAGCTACAGGCTGCAGTTTTGGTCACGTGTCGTGTCCCGCTGACCCAGAGCCCAGTTGTGCTGCCTGTGTCTCCGGCCCGGGCACTGCTTGGTAGAGCCTCTCGGGTCCACAGCAGGGGCCTGCGGCAGGCCGGGCCGCCCTGAGCTCCTTCAGGGACCTGCGGGGAGTGTGTGGAGAGGAGCGAGGCGCTAAGCAGATTAGGGCTGTCACAGCCTGGTAATTTCTCTGTCTCCCGCGCTGTCACGCGTTTGCTTTTGCAATGGGCGCTGCTCCACTGACAGGCACTTACGGAGGGCATCTTGAGCCTAGAGAGGTTGAGAACCACCGAGGTGGTTGCTCTGAGCCCTTCAGCACCCCTGGGTGCA